TTATAAACAAAGAATAATCACACCATTAAAGGTGATTGACAGAAAGTAGGTAGAGACTGTATGAAATTAGCACATATGTCATAGGATGTGCATATGATGGAATTAGCTTTTCTGTTAACATAGAAAAGAATATTTGGTCTACCGGACAGAAAGAGAGAGGGAAAATATTTATTCTACGGGACAGAAAGAAAAAAAAGAAAGACAGAGATAGAAAGAGGGGGCGCCAACTACTTTTTAAATAAAAAATAGTAAAAAGAGAAACTGAAGTTAAAGGAATTAATAAATTAATAAAGAAATTAAAATAAAATAATTATTTAAATGTAAATTTATACACTTCTAATGTCAATGGGTATACAATTTTCCGGTTTGTTGTGCCGTGTTCTATTTAGATTATATAGAATATCAATATCTTACAAGGCTTTAAAAATATTACGGTGTGGAAGAAATAGAATAGAATAGAATAGAATAGAAATATGCTTTATTCTCACTGAAAATTATTGAACAATTTTATGGACAAAGCTAAAAAATAAATCAGTCAAATAGTACAAAAAGTATAAAACAAAAACAAATATAGTAAAAAACAGAATAACACAATTTTAAATTAGTAAAATTATTGTATAACCTACATAATTTGTACAGACAACAACAAATGAGACAAATTGTAGCCACTGCTTGAGACACCCAAATGTAATTATAAACAATACTAATTTTGTTTCTTTGTTATACATTAAGAAACTCGTCAACTGAATAATATGGTCTTTCTGAGAGATAGATTTTTGTCACCTTACGAAACTTAATGAAGGATGTTGCGGATTTAATTTCTCTTGGAAGGTGATTATAAAGTTTCTTTGCACGATACAGAATAGAATTCTTTACTAGCTGAGTGGACGGGATCGGCAAATAAACGTTACAATCCGAATTTCTAATGGAGTAGCCATGGTCAGGTCTATCGGGAAAAATGTTTAGATGCTTTCGAATCAAACAAACCGTTTCCAAAATAAATAAAGAGGGAAGCGTCAAAATTCCGTGATTTTTGAAGCAGGTCTTGCAATGAGTTGTTTGTTTGAGACCAAATAGATAACGGATTGCTCTTTTTTGCAACTTAAAAATAGTATCAAATTGGGCCGCTGTACTAGAACCCCAAAATGGAAGCCCATATCGAAGATGGGACTCGAACAATGAGAAATATGCCATTTTGGCAGAAGATAAATTTAGTTCTTTCGAAACAGATCTTATTGCACAGCAAGCTAAGGCTAGTTTCTTCCTTAAGGAGTCAGTGTGCAAGGTCCATTTGAGATCACTGTCAATGAGAATACCTAGAAATTTCACGGAATTTACGATATTGATTTGGCTCTCATTCAAAAGCAAGGGTTGCATGACTCCTTTATAAGATAATGCTACAGTCTTATCCACGTTAAAGCTAAGTAAGTTGGAGTCTGACCAAGCCTTGATTATAAGTAAATCAGCGGTTATAATTGAATGAAGCGTTGAAATATCAGAGCTGCTCCAAGTAATACTGGTATCATCAGCAAATAGAAAAATTTTCCCTTTATAACAAAATAACATAGAGGTATTTATGAAACCTACAACCGAAGAAATAATTACAGACAAGTACGATTTGTGAAAAATGATATGAAATGTAATAAATAACGAAAAAAATAGTGGAAAAAAAGCGAAACGGCGACGTTTATACGCTGATATAAATAAGACAAGCATTGGTACATATTGGTACTGACCTAATAATGTCAAGTTTGTCATTCAGGCGGTAAAGTTCGAAATTATAGCGTCTACGCCATAATCCGCCCTCCTGTACTCCTCCATAGATATGCCGGAGGATTTTACGTTCAAAGCATCTTAAACGTTCTTCATCGCTCTTTGTCATCGTCCATCTTTCCGAGGCGTAGGTGAGGATGGGCTTGATAAGAGTTCTGTATATCACTAGTTTCGTTCTTTTTGTAACAAGGGTTGGTGTTAAACATTTTCTTAATCCATAATAGGCTCTATTTGCCATATATCCGTCTGTTAATTTCTACATTTACTGCATTATTCTAATTAATTTGTGAGCCTAGGTGCATAAACTCTCTTACTCCTTCGAAAATATATGTTCCGATCGTTAGATCTTCGGGTTGTGCTGCTTGTATATAATTTGATACTTTCATATACTTCGTCTTAGTAGTGTTAACCTCTAGTCCCATTCTTTTTGTAGCTGCTTTAAGCACCTTGAATGATTCGACCACGTCCGCCTTTCTTCTTGCAATAATGTCGATGTCATCGGCGTACGCTAGTAATTGTACGCTGCGATTAATAATAGTTCCTCTGGTTGTTATTCCAAATTCTCTTATTGCTTTCTCTAGTGCAATATTGAATAGAAGGCTGTCTCCTTGTCTAAGTCCTATCTGAGACTGGAACGTTCTGGAAACTCCATTCTGCACTCTAACTTTACACCCGACTCTTGAGAGAGTCGCTTTCACCAATTTTACTAAGTGTATTGGGATGCTGAATTCTATCATGGCCTTGTACAGTGCCTTTTTTTCAACACTATCATAGGCACATCTAAAATCAATAAAAAGGTGATGAGTATTAATGCCATACTCCCGTCTGGCGTAATTTCTGAAGGAATGCTGTTGGGATTATCTTGCTCTCTTTCATCGTCAATGTCCTCGAGTTGGATTTCTGATTCGTGGAGCCCTGTCTCATCTCTTATATTTAGCCTTTGCTCGAAGTTTTCTGCCCATCTTTCTAGTAGTATTAATTACTTACTGTTAATATAAACAACATGCAGTATTGATTATTTAATTAGCACTTGCAGAAATCTACTCTCAAAACGGTATAAAAAACCTATGGTTTTTTATACCGTTTTATAATTGACATCATTAACTTGGGCTGGTAACTTGAGCTAGATCCAAACGTGGTAGCCATTTCGAATAAGATGTTCCCTTTTGATTCAATCTTGAATCATTATGTGGCTTTATTTTAAATTTTTATAACATTTTAAATATAGACCAAAGGTTTTTATACCGTTTTAGAAGTCAACTTCTCAAGTAAGCAATCAATACCACATGTTTTGTATATTAACAGTAAAAATGTACTCCTTTTGTTCATTAAATTAAAGGACAAATACTTCCTTTCAGGTTTCGCTGATGATGATCTGATATGAGCAAAAATTTTCATATTTTTTTAAATTAAACCAATTACACTAAATTTTTTTAATCACCTAAACCTCACTTAATAAATGTCTACCGATGAAATTGACAGAGCACACGCGAAATTGACAGAGCATTTTTATTGAATTAAATATCTAGTTTATGATCTAGACTTCCACCTAATGTTCTACGTAATTCACAGTGGAAGTGAAAAATGTTTACATACGTAACAGGATTCTTCTTCTTTTTCTTTGCATGTTTGTTCCTTGACATTGGCAACCATCACAGCAATTCTAGCTCTTGACTAGAGTACGAAATAATTTAGCTTTTGTACCCAGAAAATTCATATTTTTCCTTGCCCCCTTTCCTCATAAACAAACTGAAGAAGTCCGATCTGCGTTTCGTTTTCTTCACTGACTTTCTACATCAGTTCCATCTCGTCAGAGTAGATTGGCTGTTAGTGGAGTCATGTCTAATCAAGAGGTACATACAGAGGCAGATACAGAGGTACAGAGGTGTCTTAAACAACGCATTATTATTAAATTTTTGCCGCGGGAGGACGTAAAACTACACCATACCCAAGTCTACGACTGGCATAGAAGAGTTTCCGATGGCCGCGGGGAGAAAAATGACGCCCACCGCAGAAAAGCACCAATGACACGAATATTCTTGCGATTCGTGAGATGATTGAAGGAGACCGCCGCCTTACAATATGGAAATTCCTAAACACATCGTATGGGAGTGCCAATGTATCATGTTTAGATACTTTGGATAACAAAAAGGCAGTAAAAGACTTTTGGAACGATAATGAACAGAGAGGGATGATTTCTTGGAACAAATTGTCACCTGTGAGGCGTGGATGCATCATTACACTCCAGAGTCTAAGCAGGCAAGCATGTAGTGGCGAAAAGCAGAAACCGCGAAAAACCAAGGCCCGTCGTTCTTCTGGAAAAGCTCTAGCAACGATTGTTTGGGATTGCAGAAGCATTGTGCCCGTTTAATTTTCTCCATGAACAGCGTAAAGCTAATGTTGAGTGCTACTACCAACTGCTTGTTGACATTAAATTGGCTTAACGATAAAAAAGGCTTAACATGCCTATTTGAAGTACAATTCTCCTCCATCACAACGCTCAGCCATCCACAGCTTCTTAACCCAAGAAAAATTGGATAAAATTTATTAGAAAACGCTCTACAGTTCCTTTCTGTTGTCGTGTGACTATGATATAGAAACTTTCGTGCGCAATTGGTAAAAGCTTCAATCTTTGATAATGGGATTAAAAAATTTCCGATTCGGTGGGCAAAATTTGTGAATAAACGAGAATAATAGAAAAATAAGGTGTATTCAAAATTTTATGTATTGTACTACCAATAAATGTTCTAAAACAAAATCTGGTTCATATTCGATTTGCCAACACTTAAAATTGAATTAATATTAAAATTTTGTTCACAATAAAAGCGAAAGAGATGCGGTAAATCAAAACCTTTGAGAAATAAACTCAAACAGTTAACTAAAGTAAAGTTAAAGTAATCATTTCAACCATAACACATCAACATCTACCAGATAGTTTATTACTTTACAGCTTAGGTTATAATAGAAACATTGTAAGCTATGTATTGTGATTTTATATGTATTTCAAAGGTAATATAAGTATTAACATTATAACGTAAAGCTTGAACATCTAACAGTTACCATGCAATATAACGTTCTGAAAACTGTCATATATAATACAAATACACCTTTTGATATCACCCTGAACATTTAAAGAAAGGTTGTGTGTTATAGGAAGTAAACAGTGTGAAGAAGAGATCTAGTGTCAAAAACAGATAGCTAATAATTGAAAGCTGAAATACTCGTACCTGTGGTCTCACCTGTGTCAACGCCTCCATACGTTGCTTCAGTTGTTCCTCTATTTCTGGTAATTTTGAATATTGAGCTAATTTTTGTTCGGATAGTTCCAGTTTTTCTTGGATAGCTGCTATTTTTTCTTCGTGTAACTAAAATACACATTTATAATTATTTTAAGGATAACATTATTTTGAAAATATTTAAATATGATATACATAAATCGGGTTAAATTTTTTTATTACAATTTATTTTACAGTGTGATTCATTTTGTAACGGTTAAACAAATTTATTTTTATTTAGTTTAATTCACATATTTTAAATCCCGTCTACTCCGAATAAGAACATTTTAGTTCTTTTGGATTAGAATAAACATTCATTTGTTTGATTTTGAATACTACACAAACTAATATCGAAATTTTCCATTAAGATCGATGGAGAATCGAAGAAATAACTCTGATCAAACGATTAAACGTTGAGTCTCTTGGCGAACTGGGGATTTTTACCGGCAAAAAATCATCTATGTATGAGGTGAGAATTAAAGGTCAATTCAAACACATCAGTCACGTCTCGTCACAGTCCCGGCGCCGAACCGAACAATCCGTCATACAAAATATTCTTTAATAGAAATATGCCGCCGGCATACACATTCATCAGTTGAAGAACAGTTTCCCAGCAGTCAGGTTTCGACACGTCTATCGCCCAGCCAATTTTATAACTTCAGCGACGGTTTTTTTGGTTTTGCCTGGAACATGACGGGCGGTAAAAGTGAACAAAATAAAATTATTGACGAACAATTAATAGAACGTTTGAGAAAATTATGTTTTATATGATTTGTCGCATGCAAAATACGTGGACATTAATTTAAAAAATAATATTTGGCAGGAAAGCAATTTTTCGACATCCTAAAATATTGATGAAATTTCACATCATTACGAAGCAATTCTTTATACAGTGTCACGTATTCTCCTTCGGTATCCCTTTTTTCATGCGTCATAGTTCCATTTCCGTCTTTTTGCTTGGTTTGCTTGCGTTTCTTCCTCATCCAAACATATAGCAATTGTTGCTAATTTTTCATTCAAGAAACGTTCCAACAGATTGGTCGCCGAAGACTGATGCATTTCGGGTGTGTGCGAATAGACGAACGAATAGTTCTGTGACCAGACGGGACCGGTTCGGCACCGAGACTATGACGGGACTGGTATGTTTGAATCGACCTTTAGAATTAAGAATGATATCATTCAGGAACGAGATCTTGAAGAAAGAGGTTGAATTATCGAAGTTACCAGCTGTTTAGCAGGTAAAAGTGCTTTTGTTTATTGTTTAAATATTATTTGAATATTTTTTGGAGAACAAAAATATCTTTGGGGCAGTAGTATTAGTGACAGAATGCAGTCAACGAAATTGTACGTTGTAAATCAAAAGTAAGATTATTTTAGTGCAGAATGGGGCAACTTTAATTGCAATGTGTGTATCCAAACAAGTCTACAAATCACAGTAAGGTTTTACCTATTGTTTATGTGTCCTGCAATAGTAGATTAAATAATTAAATTTCTCAATATTTGCGTTTGATGGATAATATAAACAAGGAAACATATGTCATTATTTTTATTTTTCTTCTAATGTACACAGTGTAGTGTAGTGTTAGTGATTTTTGAAGGAGTACACTATGTTTTTTGTAAACAACACTAAATTTTGTATGTAGATTGTAAGAATTAAAAAACTACATATACAGAGTGGCCCAAAAGTCTGGAAACGGCCAATTATCTCGTAAATTGCTAGTTAGAATTGTACAAAATTTGAGGTACACCTATTTTGGGATACGGAGATTCCATATTTGATATTTGCAATGTTGACAGATTTTCCGTTTCTCTTATATTATTAGTAACTTTGGTTTTTTAAATGCATCACCCTGTATATTTAGTCATTATTGGAATCTCCTATTCAATACGAGTTCAACCATATGTAACACTTATGATTTTATGTAGTCTGAAAGGTCTTAAATACATAAAACACAAGTCTGGCAACGCCTAATTGTTTCAATAATTTTTTTATTACTAATTATTTTTAACTACATGAAAACTTCACAATTGATAGATTAGAACATTTTTTAACAATAGTTACGTTATTAAGCGTAAAATGTGCTCAATTTATGAGTTGATAGTACCCTAATCGATGGTAGAATGCGTCTATCACATTTCTCTATGATGGTCTAGAAACAATTCGAGGTTCATCGATAATTCGTTGCCTTTGCTCTGCAAGACTTGCTGGTTACGTAATGTAAAATAAATTTTTCAAGTGTCCTAATATAAATAATCTTTATGATTGAAATCGGGTGAACGTGAAGGCCATTCAATTTTACCTTGTCTACCAATTTATCGTCCGGGAAATATCTCATCTAAATAACGCCGAACATTTACACCAACTATGTGACGTTATATTTTTTTCGATAAAAAATGTCCCAATTGACTGAGTACCTACTATACCTGACGATACATTTAATTTTTGTGGTCTTTGAGTATGGTTTTCACGCATTCAGTGTGAATTTGCGTCACTCCAGTACCTTAAATTGTGCCGATTTACACTTCCACACAGTGTACAAATTGTTTCATCGGAAAACATATTCTGTTAACGAAATTTTAATAATTTTCAATTTTATCCATCATTACCTCAGTAAACTCTAATCTAAGATCGAAGTCATCTTCACTTAATTCTTGCAATAAGTTTATTTTGTAAGGTTTAAACTTATTTTTACGTAATATACGTAAGACTGAAGAACGACCTACATCATGTACTTGCGCAACCCTGCCTGAGGATGTATGTGGATCTTCAACAAAACTTTTCTCTTTCCATCTGTCTTTACCTTCTTCAGATCTCTCAAATCGCTTTACAGTTTTTTGTACCGTTGCCTTATGAATAGGAGAACGGTTTAGAGAACGGCATTTTAGAGAAGCAATTTAAATTGCAGAACTTTTCGAAACACAACTACTGTCAGTTTTAGTTTATAATGTAAATCGTGAACAAATGTCAATATCACAGCATTCTACATTTAAATATTTAAATTTATTAAAATCTACATCTTTTGAACTATTTTATGTATTTAAGACCTTCCAGACTACATAAAATCATAAGTGTTACATATTTTTGAACTCGCATTGAATAGTTGAACTCGTATCAAATTCACACTGAATACGTGAAAACCATACCAGACCACAAAAATTAAATGTATGATCAGGTATAGTAGGTACTTAGTCAATTGGGTCATTTTTTATTGAAGGAAATTTAATGTCAGATAGTTGGTGTAAATGTTTGGCGTTATTTAAATGAGATTTTCCCAACGATAAATTGGTAGACAAGGTAGAATTGAATGGCCTCCACGTTCACCCGATTTCAATCATAAAGATTATTTTTATTAGGAATACTTGAAAAATTCAGTTTACAAAACTTAACCAGCCAAGTCTAGCAGAGCAAAGGCAACGAATTATCGATTAATCTCAAATAATTTCTAGACAATCATGGAGAAATGTGGTAGACGCATTATACCATTGATTAGGGTACTGTCAACTCACAAATTGAGCATATTTTAAACACTTAATAACATAGCTATTGTTAAAAAATGGTTTAATCTATCAATTGTTACGTTTTCATGTAGTTGAAAATAATTAGTATAAAAAAATTTATTGAAACAATTAGGCGTTGGCAGACTTCTGTTTTATGTATTTAAGACCTTCCAGACTATAAAAAATCATAAGTGTTATATATAGTTGAACTCGTATTGAGTAGAAGATTTTAATAATAGCTGAATATACAGGGTGTTGCATTTGAAAAACCAACGTTACTAATAATATAAGAGAAACGGAAAATCTGGCAACATTGTAAATATCAAATATGGAATCTCCGTATCCCAAAATAGGTGTACCTCAAATTTTGTACAATTCTAACTAGCAATTTACGAGATAATTGGCCGTTTCCAGACTTTTGGGCCACTCTGTATAATGATATAATAATAATGGCCAAGGTAAATTTTCAATTTTAATTTTTAAATCTAATCTAATTTAATAGTTCCAATTAAATCAATGTTTTTTCTGATAATAAATATGGCTTGTACATAAAAATGTTCTACTGTTTAATTTATCTAACAATCTTCTTTCTCTTGGACCACAAATAAATATTTGCTAACATGTTTGCTGAGCGAACATATGAGGAAAGTGTGATCGGTTATTGTTACTGTTTATTTTTCTACATGTATTTAGATTATTGTTTATTGTATTTGTTTAGATATGTATTTTGGTTTTGAGGTTTCTTTGCCCTCACAAAAATGTCGAAGTGGCGCCCTTTTGGCAAATTTTTTTAACTTTTTTTCTGTCTCTTTTTGGTAAATTTTTTATAACTTCTCTTCTGCCCTTTTTTGCAAATTATTTATGATTTATATATTTATTCTTCTTTTTAATCTTTATTTTGTTTACGTGCTGGTAAGAATGATCCAAAGAACCATGCCCACATCCCTTCCGATTCTGAGCAACGTGCTCTCTTTCATTTTGTGTGCCTTAAATATTCTCCATCGTTGATGAGTTATAATTTAAAACTAGTAAATGAAAAAAAATAGTAAAAAATCCTATATAGAAGGTATATTTATTTAAAAGAACCCTTTCGGGCTAAATCACAGAACGTTTTTGGAATAAATATTCCATCGTCAGTGCTGCTGCTCGCTATACGTGTTAAAACCTTTAAATTTTATTGAATTGGTATTAGATGACTTCTTCTTCTTCCTCTTCTTTTGATATCATAACCCTGGAAGGGTGTTTGCCTGTCTGGCTAAGTCCTTCCATTCAGATCTCTCTTGGCTCTTCTCCTCCATTGTCTTATATTCATGGTTTTCAGGTCGTCTTCCACGTCGTCCAACCATCTCGTCCTGGGCCTTCCTACCGGCTTCTACTGTTTCTGATACGCAACTACTGTTTCTGATACGGAGACCAAGTTTCTAAACGGACTTTAGGTAGCAATAGGTGGTGGCTGAGCCACACACTCCTTAGGCCCACAGATTACATTGCTAGAACAGCGCTAGATTAGAATCCTCACGACCGATAGAAAGCAGACCTAAAAAGACTTAGAAAAGAATAGTACCTGACCAAGGGAAAGAAATGGGACAATCCTGGCTTGAAATCAAGGCCTTAGCGAGAAATAGAAACCTCTTCAATAATTTCAAAATTTTCTTAAGAATACTGCACTTGAGAATTTACAACAAAAAAGAAGTACAACTAAGCGAAACACAATTTGGTTTCAGAAACAACCTTGGAACCAGAAGTATTATTCAGTTATTAACCAGTATATATGTGTTTTATCGACTTCGAAAAAGCCTTTGACCGGCTCACCTACAACAAACTGATAGGTGCCTTGTAACAGGTGGGAATTTATTACCAAGACCTTCGTATTATCAAAAATTTTAATTGGCATCAATGTGCAAAAATATGAATTGGTCAGAATACGACAGAAGCAGTAGAAATACGACGCGGAGTGAGGCAAAGATGCATTTTATCGCCTCTACTTTTTAATATCTACTCCGAATTTATTTTCAAAAAAGCCTTAGATTAAGATGCTGATTGCTTCCAATAAAAGAGTTGCAACGACTTATAAACAGGGTGATCAAAACATGTGTTGAATGTGTAAGGAATAAACATCAGACCGTAAGGAATAAAGTTAGAAAGAGTCCGCCAATTGGACGCCAATGTTAACGATAGCTGGCATATAAGCAAAAAAAATAAGGATATGCATTGAAAAAGCCAGAGCCGCCTTCCATAAATTAAAGAAAATTCTCATAGAGATATTACATTAAACCTTAAAATCAGATTAATACGCTGCCATATATTCTCCACATTGCTGTATGGCATGGAGAGCTGGACTCCTACAGCAACACCAATGAAATAACTTGATGCCTTTAAGATGTGGATTTACCGACGAATAATGCCAAAAAGTTGGGTTAATCGAATAACAAATGAAATTGTTTTACACCGAATAAAAAAAGAGCACAAAAATAACAAAAACAATAAAAATTCGAAAGTACAATATTTCGGCCATGTAATGAGACATCCAGAGAGGTAACCATCTACACCTCATAATACAGGGCAAGATCGCCGGAAGAGAAGGGCCCAGACCGAAGAAGAATATCGTGACTCCTAAATATTCGAGAATTGTATCAAGAGACATCCGCTAACCTGTTTCGAGTTGCAATTTTCGTAAACAAAGTTGTTTTTGCCAATATGATCGCTAACGTTCGATAATCAGAGAGGGTAGGTAGTATAGAGTTCGCTGGAGACACTTTGTGGAAGCCCTTTGTTCCTTTTAAGAATCTCGGAACTATATGGATATACACTCTAATAGACTTTCTTATTGCAAAGCATATTAAATATTTAATGAACTCATACAATGATGTCAATGATTAAGTACTCTGTTGAAAATATAAATGTTTTTAATACAAAAGTTACCTTTATTTGAGCTTCTTTATGCTGCAACTCCTGCTCCAACTTCTCGTTAAGATCATGTAATGAAGTGGACTCCCTCTGAGCATTGAGATATCTCTTCTCTAGTGTGGCAATTCGCTCTTCCTGGTCTTCCTTTTGCGCCACGTTTTCTCTAAGATCTCTTTGTAATTTAGAATTGGTGTCTTGTGCTTTCAACAGATCTTTTTGTGCCTTCGACAAGTTTTCTTCCAGTTCCGCTACTCGGTTCTGCATTTCCGCCACACGACGTTGCCAGGTACTTATTTCTCCAGTCTGAAAATGTAATATTTATTTACTATAATGTATATAATGGAAAATATAATGAAAATTTAAAAAGGCTAAATTGTTTTATATTAATCTAAAAAAAAGAATTTGACCGGCCAAAATTCAATAGGACTTAAGACTGTACCACTAAATTGAGATAATACTCGTAACGATTATAAAAGATCGGATTCTAACGTTTGACAAATTTGGAGTTAAAGTTGCCACCTATATATCATTCTTGGAAGATTATTCCCTAAAACTCTTTCTGTGAAGTTTTATATCTAAATCTTCTTTACAGGTTTTATCATCCTACAGGACACATCATTGGATATGTTCTGCATATGTTGGCAGTGTAAAGAAAAGAGCTATACTCGTACGAGAAGAGAGCTATACCTTACTATGACCGAGAGAAGACAAGAGAGGTAAAAAGTCAATCAAAAGATGTCACAGTCACAGGCGACTCGATTATTTCCTAACGCAGGTGCTCACAAGACACGGGTATTTCATTTCCTACCTCTATAGGTCCGGGAAGGTTGAAATGCCTATACTGCGGACACCCAGACACTGTGATACTTACGATATTGGAGTGCAACAGATGGATAGTAGAGAGGAGCAGACTGGAAGGGGAGAGTTATGAATTTTGTGATAGTGAAACAAATGATTGAGAAAATGATTGAAAATAAAGCAGGTTGGACTAGTGTTCACAGCTACATCCGTGCAGTGCTTAAGAAGAAAGAATAGGAAGAAATACAGCAGTACCAATGGCAAAGGTAAGAGAAAGATGTTGTAAGTTTAAGGTATATGGAATATGTATATTTTGATAAAATGGGAACAAGTGAGTCAGACTGTAAGGAAGACGGAAATGGCCACATGGGAGTGATGCCGTTCTAGGAGCGATGAGGGTCTTTCCCGTGCTATCTGGAAATGGATTCCACTAAAAAAACTCAATTTTTGCGACCAAAAAACTGAGAAACACTAAAAAGGGAGCCTTGTTGTCCCTATCTGAGACTATCTTTAGTCTTGGGGATAGTCCAGTGGATAAATTAAGGTAGTACTTCGAAAGTGTTGCTCGGCTTTACAGCGACCATTCCGCTTCCGGTGCACTGCAACTTGATAGCTCGATTGTGTATTTTTAATATTAAAATTTTTTTATTAAAAAATGGTAAACAAACAAGTTATATCATAAGGTTATCTATAAACTAGTGTGTACAAGTGGCGAAATAACAAGCAACGATTTTTTTTACTTCGTAGACTACTCTGATAAGGATTTTTCGATAGCTCTTCTTCTTCTTCTTAACGTGCCCTATCAAGTCCCCTTGACGTTGGCGATTAACATGGCGAAACTGTCTCTGTCTCGAGCTATTCTAAATAGTTGCTCAGCTTTCTTTATTCCTGTCCACTCCCTGATATTATTCAACCAAAAGGCCTGCTTTCTACCAATTCCTCTGCGTCCTTCGATTTTACCCATCATAATAAGTTGAAGAATATTATATCGGTCTCCCCTTACTACGTGTCCAAAATAGGCCATCTTTCTACATTTGATGTTATCAAGCAGCTCGCGAGCAGCATTTGCTCTTTCAAGGACTGCCACATTTGTCAGCATAGCCGTCCATGGAATTTTTAGTATACGTCTGTGCAGCCACATCTCAAAGGCCTCCAGACGATTAATCGTGGATATTTTTAATGTCCATGCTTCGACACCGTATAAAAGGACTGACCAAATGTAGCATTTAACCATGCGCTTTCGAAGTCGAAGTTGCAAGTTATCATTACAGAAGAATGACCTCATTTTTAAAAATGTCGTGCGGGCTATCTCGATTCTACATTTTATCTCTTGATCTGGATCTAGTTGTTCAGTAATATGGCAACCAAGATATTTAAAACTGGACACTCTTTGAATTATATGACCATCAACATATAATCGTGCATCTTGATGTGCTAAACGGCTAAACACCATGTGTTTTGTTTTTGAACAGTTTATGTTTAAGCCAAACTCTCTTCCCACTTTATCAATGGCATTTAAAAGGCATTGTAATCCATTCATGTCATCACTTAAAATAACTGTATCGTCTGCATATCTGATTGTATTTATCAGAATTCCATTAACTTTCACGCCCCATTCCAAATTATGCAGCGCTTCTTTAAATATTCTATCTGAATATAAATTAAGTAACAGTGGAGATAGTATACAACCCTGTCTGACACCTCTTTGTATTTTACATATTTCTGTTGATTTTCCGTTTATGCAAGCTGTCGCTGTTTGACGCCAGTATAACTTTTCTATGAATCGTATGTCTTGACTATCAACTCCTTTATCTTTTAATATTGTAATTAATTTGTGATGCTGTACTCGATCAAAGGCCTTTTCATAGTCAATAACTACAGCAAAGACGTCTTTCCTTTGATCTCGACATTTCTGCTGTAATACATTTATGGCAAAGAGGGCGTCCAGAGTTCCCAGTCCATTTCTGAAGCCAAATTGTGTTTCATCCTGATCTTCTTCACATTTATCTCTGATTCTACTGTGGATGATGCGTAGAAATATTTTCAAAGTGTGGCTCATAAGGCTTATCATTCTATAATCGCTACAGTTTTTCGGACGTTGTTTTTTTGGTAGTGTTATGAATTCGGACTTTAACCAATCTTCAGGGATATCACCAGTCGAATAAACATCATTGAAAAGTTTGACCAGTATTCCAATGTTCTCCTCATTTATAAGCTTTAACATCTCTGTCGGTATGTTATCAGGGCCAACGGCTTTCTTGTTCTTTGCTAACTTTATAGCATGCAGTATTTCTGATTTTAGTATTTCTGGTCCTTCACCTTCAACTAAAGTCTCCGGTTCTTCGGGTCTATCATCATTATACAGTTCACTTATATAATTACACCAGGTTGTTCGAATTTCATGTTCGTCTATTATCATTTTTCCCGACGAATCGGTTATAGTATGTGGAGTTTTCTTATGATAAAGACCAGCTACTTCTCTAACTTTTTTAAACATATTAAACATATCATGTTTTTCATTCAACTTTTCTAATTCCATGCATTTATCCTCCATCCATTTTTCTTCAGCCACCTTTATTTTTTGTTTAATTAGTTTCTGTTTTTCCTTATATTCTGTCTTGTTACCTTTCAGTTTCCTTCTCTGCTCCATTAATTCCAGGATTTCATCAGTCATCCATTGTTGTTTTTTGTACCTGTGTAACGTTGTTGAATATTTTTCTATTACTTTCAAGGTAAGATCTTTAATGTGTTCCATATTTCTGTGTTGTTTTCATTTATTGATTTCTTTAGCTCATTGTTTAAGTCATTTTCTATTAACGTTTTGTTGGATATTGAGATATTTAATTTTGGTGTTTTCGGGCTTTCTTGCACTTTTTTGAGCTTCACTTTGATGTCAGTTATTACAGGGTTATGGTCTGTACCGATATCTGCACCAGGATATGTCGTTACTCTGGCGACGCCATTCTTAAATCTCTTGTTTACCAGAATATAGTCTATCTGATTTCTAATCATATGTAGTGAATTATCTCTTGGTCCCCTCCAAGTGTATAACCTTCTTTTGTGTAATCTGAACCATGTATTTGCGATTATCATGTCATGTTCTTGACAAAACTGGTATAATCTATCGCCTCTTTCATTGCTCTCCCCTAGTCCATATTCACCCACCAGGTCAGATCTTCGGCCTTGGCCAATTTTTGCGTTAACATCTCCAATAGCTCTATTGAATGTTTGTTAACACCTTTCCAATGTTTGTCTATACGTTTGTTTACGTTAATTCATTTTCAAAAGGGAGCATTAGATATAGATTGTTTTATTTATATATTTTTCTTCACAATATTTACTTACCTGTTGTTCCAATGCCATCTGCAAGTCGGTAATTCTAGCTGCAGTTTCACTATCAGGCTCCATTCCCCCATTGGCAAGACGTGGCTTCGAAGATGGCTATAAATTAGTTTTTTTAGTAATTGAAGCAAATGTTAGTAATAAAGGTAACACAAAAATATTAAAAATATACCTACTTTATTATTAGTAGATATAACTTGGTCCCCAACATCGACTTGTCCATTTTCTTTGGGTATTTCAACAGTGGCAGGTACATTAGCTTGTTTATATTGTTGTAGCTGAAAGACAATGACAGTATATGTATTATGGAACTAAATATCTTATAGTAATGACATAATTATCGCATTTCTGAAAAAACCGATGAAATGGAGTATCAAAGTATCCGAGAGAATTTTTGATGTAAGGAAAATCTGTCTATTTATGTCCTGAAGGAACTATATACATACCAAATTTCAGAACTCTATGCCCTCTCTCTTTGTAGTTATCTATAACTTTGGTGAACTTTTACCTACTGATTCCAAATTTAATAGGGTTCGTTCTTGGATTAAGAAACAGTATAAACTAGGTAATAAGTTTCAAGACTCTATGATGTATCTTTCAAGGGTTATCACACAGACAGTTATACAGACGGACAGGCGATGGCACGAGTTCAAGCAGGACTCGGCAGGTCTTTAAAAACAGAAAAGGTAACCTGAGAGGGAGAAAGAGGGAGAGAGAGAGAGAGAGATTCTTTATACAATCTAGGAGCATCATTGAATATAAGTAAAAGCGCGACTAAAGGTTTAATGTCAATTACAGGCGATTCAATATAAAGGAGCTGTGCTAGACAGATTGCAAATTACCATTTGGTGATTTCCATCGACCTCTGGGTTTATTAGCGACATATAAACATAAACATGAGATAAGTAACTTATAAATAAATATTATATTTTGTTAAGAATATTAATGTCTTTAAGAAATTTCACAATATTTTCACTGGTACACTCACTAAAGTTGTCCCTTATAACTGATGGAATTTTATTAGTTAGTCTTTCAGCACTATATTTGGGACACTCCGTTAATACGTGTTTCACTGTTAACGGCACGTCACAACTCGTACATTTTGGTTGAGGTTCCTTCTTCATGAGATATTCATGTGTGAGTTTGCTGTGTCCTAATCGGAGCCTGGTTAATACAACCTGAAGGAAACGGCTAGGGGCGTTGTTGGTCCATCGTCCAAAATTTGGTTTAATTTCTTTTAACTTTGAGGATTTTTCTTCCCAACATTTAGTCCAATTACATATCAGCTTTTGTTTAAAGTACGGCTTGAGATCTTCTGCTAATGGTTTTATTATCGGTCTGACATTTGGGGAATTTGCTATTTCTCGAGCATTTTTATCAGCTAGTTCGTTTCCTTTAATGCCTATATGTGATGGTACCCACACGAAGACTAATGTTTTGTTTTCCAGCTGCTGCATCTTGTTTTTAATTAATTTAGCTAACGGGTTGCAAGTGTACATTTTTGACAGTATATGAAGGGAATTGATTGAGTCAGTAATAATAAGGAATTTATCTGGTTTGACTGTTTGTATGTGAATTAGAGCTCTGTATATTGCATACAATTCTCCAGTTATCACAGTGGATTCTGTGGGCAATTTGAAACTTTTTATTATGTCTCTTATAACAAATGATGATCCTACACCAGAAGTTGTTTTAGATGCATCTGTGTAAATTTGGGTATATTCAGGGAAAGAAGGAAGTATTCTATTATAATTGCTTATAAATATTTGTGGATTAGTTTCAGATTTATGATATGATGATAGTTCTAAATTTAAAGTAGGCAAAGGTATTAACCAGGGAGGTGGCGTGTTTACGTTTGCTGAATGTGTTGAGGGAAAGTTAAAAATTTCAATAGAGTTTAAAATGTTTTTGATCCTTAATTAAAATGGTAGCAAATGATCTTCTGAGAGGCGATCTGTAATTCTTTGGTTTCCTGCTTTTGTGAAAATCAAAACGAAAACCACTACAGGCGCATCCACACACTAATCAGCTACCGATAGAGAAACGGCAGAGGGAAATTCTCTAAACTGTGGAAAAATAGCTATAATGAGACACACGAGTAGAATGGATCTAGTTAGATGGAAGAATGTAGACATTATACGAAAATAATTAAATAACTTACTTCTTCTTTGGTTGCTGCTAATTCTTCTTCTAAGCTGGAATTTCTTTCTAAAGCTACCCTCAGTCTTTCACGCACCTGAAAATTTAAAGAAATAATATTAGTTCTGTAAATCACTGCAACAAATTTTATGTTTACCTTTTCGTCTAAAGCTTTGTGATGTTCGAACAGACTCTTGAGAGCCTTGAGGACCTCCACTTCGCTCGAAACGCCAGATTGAGCTGCTGCTTGACGTTTTACAACAGTCATTCTTAAAGATCTCTCGTGTCTCGATACAAGACATTCTAAATGCTCTAATAGTAACTGAAAATAAAAGTCTTTTTACTGACCATTGTCCTGTGAAACATCACCAATAAAATTGATAATTTAACATTGTAGATACTATGACTACAAAATATAATATGTATCAGGACACATACTATATTTTATAAGAAAATCTATTCTGGTACTTACCCTTGTATTGTTTCGTTCAGCCTTCAATTCTGAGATTTCTTCCTCTCGTTCTAAGAGTTGTTCTCTCGCTGCATTTAGTTCTTTGGTAAGCGTAGCAAATTCCTGCAATAAAATAAAAAGAATTTAATAAATGAAAAGTAATTTTGAAAGTTGAAACACGCCATTATAAAAATAATGAGCGCGTTACTATAATAAATGTAGAGTACGCAAAAATATACTATATGGAAATAATAACCCAATGTACTAAATGTGTGTAAGACGGAGAGACTACCACACGGGAACATTTCCATCTCGAAAAAGGAAACCTTATGCTCTGAGAGGTAACAACCAACTCTGTTGGACTAATTTGATATTATAAAATTGATTATAACAACAAAATGGACAATATCTCGACGTTGCGATCTGGTAATTTATCTATAGAAGATGTGTGCAAAATTTGAGAAGGATCAATCAAGTAGTTTTTGAGATACAAAGAACAACGGCATGAAAAAATGATTTCAAGAAAAATGCGTTTAAAAAAAAACTTATTTTTTATACTCACACAGTATCGTCTATTCCATGCTTATATATCGGCGTGCTTCCTGCTAAAATATCTAGAGCATCTTTTTGCTCCTGGTTTTGACGAACTGTGCCTTTTTTGTTGCATCTGCAGCCATTTTATCGGCTCTAGTAATTAGATTGTTATCTGCCGCGATTGCATAATTATGAGAACTTGACATTGTACTTATTCCAATTTCTCACCTCCCTCATTCATCTCACTCATTCACCAAGCTCACTCACCTCACTCACACACTTCACTCACTTAATCGCCTCAATCAATCACATTAATCACTCACCTCATTCACTCGGCCTCACTCACTCACTCACTTCACTCACTCACGTCACACACTCACTGATCTCACTCACTCACCTCATTCACTGATCTCACTCACTCATTCCTAAATGCCTATGATTCCATAAATGTTGCTCTTATCACTTAGAAATTTTAACTGGATACTCTCGAGTTCTACTATCGAATAAAAAATAAACAAAATACGCAAAAAATACCCTACTCCCCATTAATGTAACAGGCTGAAAAAAAAAGAACAAAGAAATTTCCATCGTCAGATCCTAGGGCTGTCCTATTGTGATGAGCACCGGCATTATTAAGAAGAATCGCCTTTTTTGGGAACTTTTCCTTCTTTAAATAAGATTTTACTTCAGAAATGAACTTTTTATGATTCCAATCTTGGAATGTCAAGATAACTTGTATCCAGACAGCTTGCTGGTTAGGGGAGATTCTGCAGTTTCATGATTTTAAAAGCGTAAGGATTGTTTGGCTTTCCAATCACAGTCAGTTTCGGTCTATGGCTACAGGCGCATTGGCACACTGTTACCAGATTTTTATTTTTTTATATCCCGGTCCACTCATTTTATTACTTGCAGCTAAGGTTTTTGTAGGTATTGCTCGCCAGTATAACGCTGTTTCGTCAGCGTTATGAATTTGAGAAAGCTATAGAGTATTTTTTGTAATATTATGGTCTCCAGTTCATAGCAAAATTCCACCATTGCTTTTCTGTCAACACTGGGTTCTTGGCCAAGGTCACGAATACAGTGATGATTTTTAAATTCATATAACCAACCACTAGATGCATTGAAAGATTCTTTAATTTTTCATGAACTCCGCTTGCTTAGCACACATTGGCCCAGATATTGGTACACTCTCCGATCTTTTCTCCAAAAAGCGCTTGCAAAGTGCTTCATCCACTAATACAAACGTTGATCCATTCAATGATTTCTGTGCAGATATGTTTTTAAAAGTGTCAGACTGAGATACGAAATTTTGATCGAATTCATAATAGTGTTATGATAAATATGTCTCGTAAATATTTTAATTCTCATTTATTAGCTGACAGAAATTCCAGGTAATATCTACTTGAAACGGTCGGTCCCCTACGATTCGAAGGTTCCAGAAACCGGTCGAATGAAGATCTGGCCGATTGATCTTCTAGTCTAGCCAAAGGGAATCGCCTGAACTCTCGAATAACTGTATTGGGTATATAACGGAAAACTTTTTGTAGAAAACAGGTAGTGAGAAGATAATTTCGCGGCGGGTCTTTTAAATGTAACGCTCGTATAAATAAATTATTATTGTAAGATAAATTAGTATAAATAAACTTTAAATTAAGTTGTTAAGTGTTATAAATATAGAACCTTTGATAAATAATAGAAAGAGTAAATTAGCATTAATAAAAATACAACTCTAATTTCCGAGAATGCATTATTATTGATACGTGATTTCAGCTACTTTTCACCAGTTACGACGCGTGACTTTGGATAACTAATTTCATTTTTTGTTTGCTAGACTATAGTTCCATCATATTTTTTTAAACTTTATTTACTGCCGACTTTATAGTCGTCTTAACACAATTGTATAGGTACTTGTTTTTTTATAGCATAAACATGTTCTACTTAATTATTTGAGGATATTGGGCCCGCATATACGGACGGGGTTTCGAAATAAATTTTTGATGTAGTGATATCATTTTTTTCTTGTGCATTTAATTAATTGGATTGGGATGTTGCCAGATCCTGAGGCTTTTCGGTTTTTATTTAGGTACAAGCTTTAATTAACACTTAACGTTGCAGACACATAAATCTTTTTAATATTTAATGAAATGTACTATTAGTTGTTTTGGAATTCAAAAAGTACAGAAATACAAATGTTATAGCATTAGTACAATATAATTATAAAAAAACGACATAAAAGTGTGTCAGAGCGGCAAAGTAATGTTCTTGTAATGTGATGTCCATCATGGCTATTTTGAGTTTCTATTAAATTACGCAGCCATGAAATTCTTCTCATTCCAACAACTTCTAGTCAAATATAAGGATGTACATAGTATCCAAAGATTGGCGTATATCTCTATATGTTTATCCAGCGTATTGATAAAAGTAATTTGAAAACATCAAGCGACCAACTTAATTTATTTAAAAAAAGATATATTTTTGATTATTTGCAATAAATGGTCCATAAGTAGTAATAATAGATAAATTCCAACTGCTCTCTTTATTTTGAGACCAAATATTAGCAGATGAAATGGAGAAAAACGGAAAAATATGTACCTATAAAAATCATACGGACACTACATGGGGTTATTGCGGGTTAGGTCGGGTAGTTCTGCTGTTACCACAGCCAATCCCAAGACCGGATTAGCAAGGTTGGCAACCTTTTTTTTATTTGCCTTATTGCCAGGCTCCGGTAAGAGCCTAAGAAGGTATTCATTGATTTCTGGCAGGCAGAGGTGGGGAAAATATTTTTTAGACATCTAATGTCACGATCATGGCAACCTACCAATCGTAAAAACATATACTGTTCAAAGAAACAATGTAAGGTCTCGAAACCGGATTGATGATAATGTGAAGACGAAAAAGGCAAAAAATAAGGACAAAAGACAAATATGCAAAACCCAAATGAGAGTTACTGTCGTACGGTCGTAGCACCCTCCTGGTTTTCAGGGGTTTCTGGAGGCTCAACGACCGCCGCTCTCGAAGAGGATCTCAAGTTTCAAGAGTCCATCTTCGTTTAGGAGTTTATTAGGATTCCGGCTTATACGTATGAGAAGCTCCGCCGAGCTTCTGTGATAGGTGAGGGGACACCGGCGATCAGAATTCTCTAACAGTTCGAGCTTTTTCACAGACTTAATTCTTACAATGACAATGTGTGAATTTAGAATTCTGTTGCGTGGTGTATGTCTCAAATCCACAGAGATGCCGACCTTCTCACTTCGAGTAGCCGCGTTCCCTCTACTTGAGAGAAGCACAAGAAAGCCGATCGTGTCGACTCTGCTAGCTGTCCGTCCCTTTGTACACCACCTTTCACCAACAGTATTTCCTATGGTTACTATTTGCATAAGGTTTCAGGTAACGAAGCGTCGTCGTGGCTTGACTTTGATCGGAAAAGCAATTACAAGTTCCTGTCGAGTTTTTTATTCGCTCTTTACCGTCGTCGTCCAGAAGAACGCTGTGGACAGTTCGACACAATTTAGAATAATTATAAGACCACTGTCTTTTCTATTCCATTTCTTATTGACCGAGAGCGTTCACAGTCAACACGCCGGTTCTCGTGCTACGAAGTATATCTTCTTACAGTCGATGAAGTCTTCTTATATTCGGCGTATTGTTTCGAAATTGTATCTCCTAGATAAATAGATGAAGTTTTCTTATATTTATTCAACATATTAGGTATTTGGATTAATAATTAAACTCAAAGTTATTAGGTAGCACACCAAGCCAACAAGGTCTAGTGAGGCTAAAAGTATCTGGACGACTGAAGTCCCGATCGGAAGATGTTCTTGTCATCCTGGTGCCTTAGTCGTGGACTAATACGCATCCTGATGCGCATCGCACCGCCTTTTAACATCTTTCGAATTTTCTATTGGCCGAGAGATCCGAAAATGCCATATAAATACTAAAATACTTTTAAATATGTGATTTTCTCGATAAGAGAATAGCCATATCCTGAAGAGGCAGAAGTCATAAAACAGGATTCTAAAACACCAACTACAAGAATAAACCAAAAGAGAAAAAAACCAACAGAACAATGGATCAAATATGCGACATTCTTCGGATCTTGGTCAGTCTGGTCTAGGCTACCAAATAGGGTCTCTGCACCCTGGGATTACGATATCGGGGCTCTGCTCAACTCTACGATCTTAGACTCTGTGGCTGAATTGTTTTTCCACTCTCCAAAAATGTTTTATTTTACTTCCCTTATTTTACTTGTGTGAGAAACATCACTAATCCATCGTCAATGGAATTTACGCAGTGTGGACTTCGAATTGACTAGTCGAAGTCACTCTGTAAGGCACCGTGGGAGTGTTTAAGTGGCAGTGATTTTTTCAGCCCTTACGTCCCATCTGGTGATATGCTGCTCTTTTATATACTTCGTGTTTGAGAATTTGCAGCAATCTTCCGCCGAGAGGCCAATGACAGCGAAGTTAATAACGAGCGCTGTGATTGCCCGGCCAAAGTAACAATCTTTGTCGGGATTGGTTACCTTGGCGACATTACCACATGGAACGTTAGATCGCTCAACACAAGAGACCAAGAAATACCATAAG